TATACGGCTCCAGCACTCGGAACTTTCGGTCTATGAGCCCGGAACGGACGGTATGTCTACATAGCCCGAAACTTTTTTTAGTGCGTGATTTGAATCGCATTTAGCTTAAAGGAACCAACACGATTACAGTGTTCTAAATATGTTGCCTCTTCATAATTATGTAAAAAATCTCGCAGAATAGCAGATAGTTTTGGCTTCCCACCAAAAAATTTTTAATTTTAAAGGAACTTAGTCGTGTAAATTTTAATACAGTACATAGGTATTTTTAAAGGAAAATGAGAAATTTCACGATTTTGAAAACACTGTATTCGCTCTGGTCACTTTTTGCTGAGTGCGATCCATTTGATTTTAAATGTCTAAAAATTCCAAGAAAATAAATTCATAAATATTTTTAAAAAGTGAATTTTTTCTGAGAGGAAATTTGGCAGCATTCAAAGGCTTATGCGGCGTTTTTCCCTAGCACGGCAGTACATACAGCGCGGATTGGCCCAGGGCACAGCGTGGCATTCGATTCCGGAGCAAATTCCATCTGCAACGATGGACCACTAGCTCTGGCACTTCCATAAAAGCACCTTTCTGCTTATGGAAAGCAATAGCATATATGTTATTTATAAAATGAGCCAGAAATAATGGTTCCTTATTGCAAAATGTGGTTCATATTCATGGTCGTTACTTAAACAGCTCCTTTCCCGAAGACCCTATAATTGGGTATACATTGCTGTGATTAAGGATGCCTCTGAAAAAGCATTAGTGAAAGGACAACTTTTAGCCTCGAGTGAAATTCAACAGGATGGCTTTGGGAATACTGCCATGCTAAGGAAAAACGTCATATGTATACTCGAGAGCTGCCAAATATCCTCCGATAAAACGTACATGGATGCATGTACAGAATTATTCAAGCGATTCAATCGAACTATTTTCGGCGTAGGGGCGCTGTTTGATGTCAGCGGTTTCCGAGTCTCTTACTCCGAACGGTTGAGAGCGAACAAATGAAACTCCTACATTTTCTAATATAGGCAATTTAGCTATCATCAATGGGCCTCGCACGTCGCACTGCACGATGCACTGGTGCTCCAATACCTTCATTTTGATGAACATTGCTCTATCCGATGAAAGAACTCACGGTCTGCATTAAGTGGAGATCTACTTTTTCTTGCCATTCATGAAATTAAAACTTACTACACATACGTTGTATTTAAATGAGCTAGAGGCATCAGTTCCTTATCAATAGTAGTTCTCACTAGGTCGAACAGGATTTTCCGTATTCCCGCGTTTATCGCATGAAATAGCAATCACGTGAAACCACTTCGATGCCTATTTTGTAACAAGGTAAAAATGAAAGTATAAATAAAATGAAAGTATTAATAAACCGAAAAAATAAAAAGATATGCCGTAACAAAATATCTACTGTGCTAAGTAAAAACGCCGTAAATCCATCGAGATTTTCCATCGTTTTTTGGAACTTAACACTTAATAAAATTAAAACTGTTTTATCCATGCACCTCAATTTCAGGTTAAGTTCTTGATAGTATTTGCGAAAAAATACTGTAAAAACAATATCCTACGGTATACAAGTTTTTCGGCTATGATACATTGTTTCCAAGAAATGTAAAATGGCGTTTACGGCATTTTTCCGTTGCAAGGAAGATTTATTCTTGGCTTCGCCTAGGATAAAAAAATATATTTTACCTCATTAAAAGAGATTGGATGTTATTAACCTCATTAATTGGATGTAAATTATTGGATTAATTGCAGACGACAAGATGGTCAAAATAGAGGACTGGAATAGAACAGCATTGGTAGCACAAAGAAATTCTATCCTTGTCCAAAGGCCGGTATCTGCCCATGAANCTTGAAACACCGCCTTGGAGATACGTGGTTTCGCACTTTGGCCATCGATGATCTACGTCCTGGAGGCTGACTGAGGGCGAGACGTGAATGATCGATTATCGATATTTCCCCATTTGAAGCAATGGTAAAGAATCGATTATTAAGGTGCTCGCTGCGAACCCCCTGTTTATCGATCCTTTTCCAAAGGTTTAAATGACAGATCAATCGACATATCGCACAGCACGCCATTCCTCTGAGTTTGACCGAGGGGTCCCGAGTAGCCATTCTGGCGCAGCATCCAAGATCACTGCCACGCTTAGGATGAACGCCGTATGAGCATTCGAGAGTTGCCAAATTTCCTTCGATAAAATGTTCATTTTTGAGGAAAATCATGAATATATTTATTTGACATTTTCAGGAGTCTTAGATAAAATTACAAACAAAATTATCTGAGAATTTGGTAGACAAATATTCAAAACATTTCCTGAAAATTAGTGATTTGCCAGGAGGTATTTGGCAATGCCTGAAGGCTCATACGGCATTTTTCCTCAGCACGGAGGATCAGGTTTCCCTCGTATCCGAGTCATCCCGGGACTCTCTTGGAATTTGGCGCGCCGCCAGGGCGAATTAGCCAGCGCATTTTTCACGACCATTCATCCTTTTTACGAGAAATTTAACCGGGTTTCCATTCACGTTCGGCTACTGTACATTCATCCGTACTCCATCCGTGCCACGCTCCCGAGACTTATACACTGCCGTACTAAGGAAAAACGTCGTATGCGCCTTTGGACGTTGCCAAATTTCCTTTGACAAATCATGAATTTTTCAGAAATTTGTTAATATTTTTCTTTCGCTTCCTCAGAGTATTTTGTTTGAGAATTTTGCATCAAGTAAGGCGTATTTGTCGACACGCCTACTTTTCTGCGCTGCGTTGAAGTCACTGAAGTGATTTTTCTCTAGTGGTACAGAATTAGGTTCCTTTTCCCTATTGCACAGCAAAATATGTCGTTTCTCGCACGAAAAGACGTAACTGCATTTCTAAATTGCAAAATTTTCTCTCAGAAATTGTATTTTACTCAGAAAACTTTTGAGCGAGTCTAACTAAAAATTTCGCTAATTTCTCTTCCGATCAAACTCAAATGTCAGTAAAATTTTGGATAAAATGAAACTGTGATATTCTTGTAAAAACTTGAATTGTTTGGGTCGATTTTGGAATCTTGGAGTGGAGTTGCGTTCTTTCGTTTGGGAAACGTCGAATTAAGTTATCTTACGACGTTCAATGAAAAAAAACTCCGGCCGTTGAAGCTGTACTTACGGGCTATGTAGACGTATCGTCCGCGTTCCGGGCTCAGACCCGCAAGTTCCGGGCGTAGCACCCGGAGCAATCGAAGCTACGGCTCCAGCACCCAGAACTTCCGGCCTCTGAGCCCGGAACGGACGGTATGTCTACATAGCCCGAAACTTTTTTTTAGTGCGTGATTTGGATCGCATTTATAGCTTAAAGGAACCAGCACGATTACAATGTTCTAAATATGTTGCCTATTCATAATTATGTAAAAAATCTCCCAGAAAAGCAGATAGTTATGGCTTCCCACCAAAAAATTGTTAATTTTAAAGGAACTTAATTGTGTAAATTTTAATACAGTACATAGGTATTTTCAAAAGAAAATGAGAAATTTCACGATTTTGAAAACACTGTAATCGCTCTGACTCCTTTTTGCTGAATGCGATCTATTTTATTTTACGTGTCTTAGAATTTCAAGAAAATAAATTCATATATATTATTAAAAAGTAACTTTTTTCTGAGAGGAAATGTGGCAACATTCAAATGCTCATACGGCGTTTTTCCTCAGCGCGGCAGTACATCCAACGTGGATTGGCCCAGGGCACAGCGTGGCATTCGATTCCGGAGCAAATTCCATTTGCAACGATGAACCACTTGCTCTGGCACTTCCATAAATGCACCTCTCTGCTTATGGAAACCAAAAGCATATACGTTCCTTCTAAAATGAGCCAGGAATAATGGTTTCTTATTGCAAAATGTAGTTCATGTTCATGTTCGTTACTTAAACAGCTCCTTTCCATAGGAAGACCCTATGATTGGGTGTACATTATGATTAAGGATGCCTTTGAAATAGCATTAGTGAAATGACAACTTTTACGAGCCTCGATCGAAATTCAACAGGATGGCTTTAGGAATACTGCCATACCAAGGAAAAACGTCATATGAACACTCGAGAGCTGCCAAATATCCTCCGATAAGATGTACTTGGATACATGTACAGAAAAAGTACATTATTCAAGCGATTTAATCCAACTATCTTCGGCGTAGTGGCGCTGTACTTGATGTCAGCGGTTTCCGTGTCTCTTACTCCGAACGGTTGAGAGCGAACAAATGAAACTCCTTCATTTTCTGATGCAGGCAATTTAGCTATCATCAACAAGCCTCGCACGTCGCACTGCACAATACACTGGTGCTCCAATACCTTCATTTTGATAAACATTGCTCTATCCGATGAAAGAACTCACGGGCTGCATTAAATGGAGAACTTTTTCTTGCCTTTCATGAAATGACCTATCTGCAGATTAAAACTTACTGCACATACGTTGTATTTTAAATGAGCCAGAGGCATCAGTTCCTTATTAATAGTAGTGCTCACGTGGTTGAACAGGATTTTCCATATTCCCGCGTTTATCGCACGAAATAACAATCACGTAAAACCACTTCGATGCCTATTTTGTAACAAGGTAAAAATGAAAGTATAAATAAAATGAAAGTATTAATAAACCGAAAAAATAAAAAGATATGCCGTAACAAAATATCTACCGTACTCAGTAAAAACGCTGTAAATCCATCGAGATTTTCCCTCGTTTTTTGGAACTTAACACTTAATAAAATTAAAACTGTTTTATCCATGCACCTCATTTTCAGGTTTAGTTCTTGATGGTATTTGCGAAAAAATACTGTAAAAACATTATCCTACGGTATACAAGTTTTTCGGCTATGATACGTTGTTTTTAAGAAATGTAAAATGGCTTTTACGGAATTTTTCCGTAGCACGGAAGATTTATTCTTGGCTCCGCCTAGGATGAAAAAATATATTTTACCTCATTGAAAGAGATTGGATGTAATTAACCTCATTAATTGGATGTAAATTATTTTATTGCAGACGACAAGATGGTCAAAATAGAGGACTGGAAGAGAACAGCATAAGTGGCACAAAGAAATTCTATCCTTGTCCAAAGGCCAGTATCTGCCCATGAATGAGAAAGGTCTCACCTTGGAATAAAAAAAGACCGATGTGATGTTGAGAAGCGGAAATTCAAAATCTGGTGAGTGCCATCAAATTTTGCTGAGATTGTCAGGTTTTGTCAGGATTGCCTGAAAATTTCAAGGAAATATATTCATGATTTTCCTTAAATGCACGCTCTATTTCGGTCTGCCACGTGTTCTTTACCGGGACTGATTGTTTCACACGCAAGATTTGCAAAACTACTATTCGTGCTCTCAAGCCACGCATATTGTCATCGCAGTCATTGAAGGCGAACCCGACAGAATGAGAGACACATGGTTATGGCGAGAGATCAACACGAGTTCCTTACCAGGGCCGATGGTGAGCAGAAGTTGCAAAACTACTGCGCGCAACTATTCGTGCTTTCAAGCCACGCAAATTGCCTTTGTGGTTATTGAAGGCGAACTCGTCGAAATGAAAAGCACGTAGTCACGGCGAGATGTCTGTCCCTTGCTAGGAATATAGATCACATCCCGATCGATCACGCGCGAGAGTGCTCTCTTCCAGCGGCGAGACATGCATGATCGATTATCGATATTTCCCCATTTGAAGCCATGGTAAAGAATCGATTATTAAGGTGTTCGCCGTGAACAACTGAACACCCTGTCCATCGATCCTTTTCAATAGGTTTAAATGGCAGACCAATCGATGTATCGCAAAGCACGCTACGCCACTGCCACCTTCCTGCCCGAAAGGCCTCGAGAAATTAGCCTTATACCAAGCGTAGCAAGATGGAGGGGGTGGGGGTGCTGTCCATCTCTCGAAGCGGCGCGCCCTAGGTTGGGACGCAGGGAAAGCGGCGGTCATTAATTTGATGAAAAATCAAAAGGAAAAGGGGGCGGAAAAGTTGATACGAGCTCGAGGTGTGTTTATAAAAGAAAATGGAGTTTTTGTTTCGGTTTTCCGTCTATTAGCCCCCCTCCCTCCCCCCCACTCCGTGCAGCGGTTGCCGGGGTCAATCAATCATGGGGTCGCGGAGCCACTTAGCGGCGAGGGATTTTCCTCCGCCTCGGATTCGCAGTTTCCGAGCTTTGTCGCAGCCGCTCGCGAGCGCTCGTGTCGCACCACCCAAAATACGTAAATAAAACTAGAAGCTCCGAAGTATAGATATATAGTTGAGTAGCTCTCAGCAATGGAGAATGGAGATGTTGCATGTGTGAGGAATTTGCGATTTGACTATCGATTTATTTGTAAAAGTTCGCGAGAAACACGGTGGTGCCACTGGTTTTCTCTGAAATCAACTTCCGAGCTCGAAAAAAGCTCTCAAGTTGAAGCCAAAATGGAGGGGATATCCCACGCTATCCTGAGAGTCCACGTCTAGATCAAGACGAACTCTCCATGCAAAGATAGGGAGCAAATACGTTAGCAGGGTTGCCGTGTTTTCAGTTTTGGAGTCCCCAATTAAAGAGACAGCCCTGTCAATGTATTTGATTCCTATCTTTGCATGAAGAGTTTGTCTTGATGTAGACGTGGACTCTCAGGACAGCATGCGATATCCCCTCCATTTTGGCCTCAACTTGAGAGCTTTTTTTGAGCTTGGGAGTTGATTTCAGAGAAAACCAGTGGCACCGTCATGTTTTTCGCAAACTTTTACATAAGAATCTATGGTCAAATCGCAAATTCCTCACACATTCAACATCTCCATTGGCGGAGATTTTGAGCAGTGGTGCCTGGAACCTGGGAAAACTGAAAGATGCCAGGATTCATCAACGTGTTGCTAATTAAATCAACAAAATTTTAGACATAAATCGGAGTCGTATTTTTACCCCTCCTCCAAAAAACAATTTGAAAGTATGAACCAATATTGTTACCTTGGGATGGAGTTACACTCCTTCGTCTGGTAAACGACGCAGTAGCGATTCCAGCAAGTAGGCAGCACTGTTTTTTTCTCCATTAAAATGCATGTTAAACAATCGACTCTGTGAGGCAGCCTGTTTCACCAAGAATCGATATATTCAATGGATTTAAATGGAGTCCAAACAGTGTTGCCAACTTACAGGATCGCCACTGAAACGACGAAATATCCGGATAAATCAGAGCATGCAAGTGAGGAATCGGGATACAAGAGTGAAAAGTTTTTTGATCTTATCCAGTCCCGACGCCGAAAGTATATTGGTTTAATTACCCTTGAACCCTTACCGCACCGGTGTTTTCTCTCTTTTCTCCCTCCCCTCCCATCTAAATTTCCACCCCCTCTCTCTCTTAATTTGAAGTTATTTTAGCAGCTCATCCCGGTGAACAAATTAGAAACGATTTCACCCGCTAATCATCCCCTCATCTCCGAGCGGCTACTCCAATCAACCCCCCGCATTTTCGGCGGCGGTAGTGCCCGAAAAGGAGGCTACCCGAGGCGTGAAAATCCAGGGGGTGCCTCGAGGGGTCGCTGAGCCACCGGTATGACCCGACGGAGGATTTGATTAATGATAAAATCATCGAGAGAGACTTCATTTATCTTCGATCGGTTCTCCATCTCATTTTTTTTCTTTTTTTGAAATTCCGCGACGGACGATATCGCTTTGTTCCGCCCGCTTTTGTTTCTGAAAGTGGCGCGGTGGTCAGCGTGTTAACAACGAAATTGAAGGGTTTTTTCGAAGAAGGACGTGAGCGCTATGCGGATTCCAGAGGACTTGAGTCTTTTTTCAAGTGACATGCTCCTTGTTTCGGTGGCCCTTTTCGAGCTCCCAGTGGGGGACGCCGACGGGATGGTAGCGCCGATCATTAAGGTCATGTTAATCACGATATCCTCACCGATAAAGCGGCGCAGGACCGTTTCTTTTTTCGTAGATTTCTTCTGTTAATTTGATTTCGAAGAGTCGGAGCGAGTCTCCTGATTGGAAGTAATCCTCAGCGTATTGAGCTGTTTTTCTTCTTCTTCACTTCGGTTTTTTTCGAAAATTTAAAGTAATACCCCCTAGACTGACCGTACCTAAACATTTGTTTTGAGGTTAAAATACATCTGGTTGTAACGTTTTACACGCTTCTTACAGGGAAAACCTGAAAAAAGCTATTTTTGACTCCTTAAAGTAAAATTTGACGGGGGACGAATTTTTTTCCTAAAACTTCAAGTATGAAGGCCTTGAATGCATTTAACTTCGGCGGCTGAATCTGTTTCTGGGTGGAAAAAAAAAATTTTAATAGTGAAAGTACATACTACATAGGGACTGCATCCGTCAAGGGAATGGAGGGGAGGGGAGGGGGATGTGGTTATCCACTTGAATGTTTTAAATTCTCTGCCAGGAAAGTGATTCAGTGGCAAATTTTTGGTATTTATGTTCCTCGAATGTTATACTTCCAAGAAAAGATCACTTAAGGTCACCAGTCATCTCAAGTTACTCATAATTTCACTTATTCACCTCGTCCCATAAGGTCCTGTGTAAAAACTCACAACCTGATGCACTCACACGCACTCACAGATGAGTTCCGAATGTTTAGGTATGGTCAGTCTAGGGGGTATTGTTTAAAGTCTATCGATCCAGTACTACCAGAGTGACTTTGTAGATCGTATTCGATACATCAAACAGGTGAGATTGTATCGATATCGATTGGTTCAACATGTAAACATAGCCTCAAAAGTCAATTTAGAAATCTGAGGGAACGGGCCTTTTGTGATGGATTTTTAACTCTTTTCAGTACCAAATGCCAATGAAAAGTGAAATTGTCAGCAATTTTCTCATTTTCTGCTTTTCCGAGTTAAATCCTAGAATTTTTGTTTGAAGTTATGCTCGCTTGTTTTGAACCAAACAATACATCGAACCACTATCGAATACGGTCTATAGTGAGAGTACGGGCATGTCGAAGTATGGAGCTCTCAGTGCCCAAAAGAGCAGAAAACCTTTGAAAACGAAAAATGCCAATGCCAATCTTCAGATCCCAATATCGAACCAAAATGGCCAAGAATCTTCTTAAATGAGCGTTTTTCTGCAAAATCGAGTCAATGATAGGTATATGCAAAAACGAAGTCAAATACGTGTTTTATCACCGATGGACCATAACAATTGTATTAAAAAATTACTCTGGATAATTTGAATTCATAGATTGACTGCCCTTTTTGGGCCTTAACTCATGAGAGCTCCATTAATTTCAAAATTCCCAATATGTCCTCACTCACCATATATAGGGACTCTATCCAGCTATGTCTTTTCTCCATTTAAACCTATGGAAATGTATCGATTCTTGGAGGGGCCAGGTGCTCCAACAAGGATCGATTCTTTAGCATAGGTTTAAATGGAGGAAATTCAATGTTGCCAAATTTCTGAATCCGCCTCTGAAGTATGCATCAGGGTCCTCGGACCACACCTCCGAGCTTAGATTAATCCACCTCTCTTGAAAACGAGGTTACAGCCTCACAAAAGCGCAGCGTAAAAAAACCCCGGAGAGGATATTCTCTCCCCCCCCCCATTATTTTTATTTTCATCTCAGCCCTTTCCGGAGGNGGGGGGGGGGGGGGGACGGACGAAGAAATAAATTATTAACGCACTCCACTCGGGGCCTCGCCGAGTCACAAAGGCAACATATTTAAAGCGCGTAGAAAGCCGAGGTGTATAGTCTGCCGCGGCGAGGGAAAACAGCGTACCAACATTCGAACGTTGCCAAATTCCCCCCGAATAAATATTTATTTTTAAGGAGAGCCATGGCGATTTTTCTTTGAAATTTTGGGATACTGTCGATCAAAGTGCGGAGAAAATTCCCTGAAAATTTGACTGAAAAATATTCACAAATTCCCTGAAAATTCGCGTTTTGTCGAGGAAAATATGCCAACCTCTAAAGGTCCATGCTGCGTTTTGCCTTTGTGAGGCAGCATTATTAATGGAGCGGAGTCATTGTGAGCTCGCGGGGTCCATTTTTTAAAGGCGCGCGTCGATCGCCGCCCCGAAAAGGCTCCGGGAAGGTGCCCGATCGGTGAAAAGGTCGCGCAAGACAAGAAGTTTGATAAATGGAGTGAGTGGTCAAGTGCCCCCTCCCCCTTCCCCCCGCCGCGGCGTGACGTAATTAATCGCTCTTAGTCGTAATTGGCGCGTGCATAAGTTACAGGAACGAATC